AAAAAATTGAAAAAATAAAAATTAAAAACATTTTCGGTATCGGTTTCGGCCTAATATATATTAGAGGTGCACCTCTAATATATATTATATATATACACATACATACATACATATACATACACACACAGCTTGAAAAATTTGATGGTGTCAGTCAAAAATGTCACCAGTCAGCATGACCGGACTATAGCCTTGCAATTTATGTTAAAAATATTTGGGGACAGATAGAGCTTTCATTTGGAGGTATATAATCACCACTGGGGGGGAAGGGGTTATTTTCTTTTGCTATATAATGAAAAAAGTACCATAAATGTAAAAAAAACAAAAACCTACGTTATGTTATAAAACATTTATTCTTACCCATATTTTTTGTAAAACATAAAAGTCGGGGTCACGTCGGGTAAATAGACACCAAACATGTCAAGCCTTAAAACTGCGTGCGCCCACAAAAATCACAAAAAACGCCCATAGGCTACGATTAAAACGCTTTTACTGTTCATCAGTTTGGTGTTATCAGTGATTAAAGGAGAACTATGGGGTCAGGGCTTTTCCCCCATAGTTCTCCTTAGGGTAACGGGAGGACACAAACTAGCGTCCTCCCGTCACCCTAAGCTCAGTATAACGCAAGCTACAGCTCGCGGTATACTGAGACGCCACAGCTGAAGCGGATCCCGACAATTATGAAATACGCCCAGGTGAGAACCATGCCCATAGGAAATAATGGGATTTCACTTGCTGGGCGTTTTACAGCGCGTCGATCAGCGCTGTAAAACGCCCAGGTGTGAACCCGGCCTTAATGGCTCTAAAATTATTGCTCTCACTCCGATGTTTGCGGCAATATGTAACATGTGCGGCACAATAGGCGCAATCGTCTTCGCACGTAGGCGCACCCGGCGCATATCTGTGTATGTGGGGGGCGGGGGCTTAAAAAAAGTTATTTTTTTTTAAATGTTATGCTTTTTTTTAATGATTCTTTAATTTTTGTATTACTTTTTTTTTTACACACAACTTTATTGCTATTACATGGGGGGGCTAAGAAGCCCCCTATGTGACACAATTTACAT